CCTTTTTTTTAGGTTCTTTTCTTTTTTTTTTTTTTTTTTTTTTGGTTTTCTTAACTACAACTAATTTTTTTTTTTTTTTTTTTTTTGTCTTCTAGGCTTCCCTGCCCCTCGTTGGGGGTGGGGGTGGGGGGCAAAGAGAGCTTGGCTTTTCCTCAAACACAGATTTTTTTTTTTTTCCCAAGGGGGAGAAGTCTCTACGAGTGTCCTTACAGCCCCATGGACAGAGCCAAATAGGGTCTTTTGCCAGGAGTGGATAATATTTTTTTAAAAATAATTTGTTCCCAAGCTCGGCTTGGGTTTTATTTACCCAGCCAGTAACTGGCTTTAGGATGAAAGATGAGGTTTATGTATTGTGGGGAAGGGTCTTGTTTATTATTGAAATTTCGAGACTGCTGTCATGAGTCTAGGAAGAGCAGGAAAGGCGCTTTATGGGGCAAAAGTGCAGCCGTTCTCCTCCCTCCTGGGGCAAGCAGCCGCCAGATCCCAGCGTAGGGTGAGGCACTGGGAGGGAGCAAGAGACAAAGCCGGGCGCTTTCACTGCCATCAGAAGTGGGGGCTGCAGGAGAAGAAATAGAGACTATATGGAGGCATCAGGAGTAAGGAGGATTGGAGCGGCGGTGAGCTGGATGCTGGGGACGCCTGGGTCCTGCTCCCCGCCCCCTCCAACCCAGTGCCCCCTCCTTTAACTGGAATAACGTTGCCTCTGGGTTTTCCTTTATCTGATGCAGATATGACCGGGCCAGACGGAAAAAGGGCCCGGACTGCCTATACTCGCTACCAGACCCTAGAGCTGGAGAAGGAGTTCCACTTCAATCGCTACCTGACCCGGCGGCGACGCATCGAGATCGCCCACGCGCTCTGCCTGTCCGAGCGTCAGATCAAGATCTGGTTCCAGAACCGGCGCATGAAGTGGAAGAAAGACAACAAACTGAAAAGTATGAGCCTGGCTACAGCCGGCAGCGCCTTCCAACCATGAGCCCATCCGGAGGAGCCCTGGGCAGCCCCAAGAGCCCGCGCCACCCCCAGTCCCAACCCCTCCAATCCTCCCTGCACTGCCGCTGCCCGCTGGGGACCGGTTCCCACGAGCCTGCCTCGCTCCAGCCTTGTGTTACGATTTTTCGTTTGGTCTTAGGTCTTCCTGTGGCTCCCTCTCTCCTGGACTGATTATCTTATTATTGTTAATAATAATTCTTATTTTCCCTCCACACTCCCCATTTCCCTCTGCTTGCCCCAAATCTGCCAGTGTTTCTGAATGTTCTACTGTCTGTGGTTGTACTCCTCTGCCCCCACTCCCCAGGAAAAAAAGAAATTCGCATGTTTAATGTGACTTTCCCCTCCCCATCTGTGTTTTAACTTATTTATAAAAGGATGATCGCTGTATTTTGAGTTCCAACTGGAAACTTCTATAAGGGGCAGCAGTTGAGGTGGTGAAGTACCCAGCCCAGCTGAGCTGGCCTGGGAGATGGAGTCCATGACAGTCTCTTTTTCACCCTTCTCATTCTCCTTGAGCCCTACTTCCTAGGCCCAAGTCTCCTAGTGACTTGTTCCTGGGGTAGGAAGAGGCCAGGGAAGGACCAAAGTAGTGATGCTGAGAAGAGAGAAGGAAAATAGAGAGATTTCAGCTCCTGCTGTCTGGTAGGCCCCACAAGGCCTGGTCTGGGAGTGTATGAAAACAGAAATAATCCTCAATGTAAAATGTCTCGTGTTTTTCTCTGTGAATCTATGGGTCTGGCTAGAAGGCCCAAAGCTTGTAAATATGGGGATAGTCTGGGTCAGACCCATCCCTTCCTCTCTTACTCATTTTGCTTCCAAGACGATTTGTAGTGAGTGAGTGGATGCTGTGCTATGTGTGAAATCTGTCTTTGCCAGGCCTGTCTCAGTGATTAGCTTTTGGTATTTGTAGCTTTCCTTGAAGTCAAATAAATGTTTCCCCAACTCCATTGCCCCTCCACTTGTCTTTTCTCCAGGAGTCTGCCTCTCTCGATACCCATAGGGCACACCCTAGCCTAGATCATCTTCAATAAATCTAGGGTATAGAGAAGGGAAAGTAGGGTGCTCACCAGAAACCCCTTAGAAGCCACGTAAGTCCCTAGCTTGGTCAATGATGCTTGGGCCAGAAACAGGCCTTCATGCCTGGCTGACTGAGAGGTTCAGGAACTTCTTGTGGACCTAAACTGGACTCCATCCTAATCTCCTCCAGCTGGGTAGGAAAGCCCCTAGAAAATGCTCTAGGAAGAGCAATTTGGGCCTAAGTCCTAAGCAGGAAGTTCCTGGCTTTTTGAAACTGGTAGAGGCCTACCCAAGTGCCCTGTCTACTGCTCCAAATCCCAATTCAGCTCTGTCACCCACTAATGGAAAAAAAAGAAAATCAGTTCGATTTTATCCTCAGACTTCTCTATACTTTTCTAGGGCTCTTCCTCTCTAAGGGTACCCACTGACCTTCCACTCTTGTTTGAGAAGTTGGGGTCCCTCCTGAAAGGCCTCTGGTTCCCCCTCTAGCCTGGCTCAGGGCCAGGGCCCAGCTCTCTTCCATCCAATTCAGCCTCCACCCTGAGCACAAGAGTTAAGTCTGGACACTTACCCGGTCAATCCCTTCCAGCTGGGCCCAACTTCTTACAGGACCTGGGGGGGAGGGGGAGCTGGTGAGGAGAAGGCGAGGGTCCTGGAGGCTGTACTGGGCCCTCCTTCCCCCTCACCCCATGACTTTGTCCCCCTTTGCCGAAAGCAAACTATCCCAAAAGTCGCTATGACATTTAGATGTCAAATGGATAGGGGTTTTATCTCGAAGTTAGATCGTAAAAATCGCCGAGAAGTCAGACAGATACCCCTCACTGGCTCGAGAAAGTCACGTGAGGTCCATAAAGTTAGTTTTATGGTTTTGGGGAGTTGACACCGCGCGGTATATTTCACATTCTCCAGAATGTTAAGTGACACTTTAACTGCTCACTGTGGTGGGGAAGGGGGCAGAGGTAGGTGAGCGCTCTCCCAGCTTAGAGCAGCCAGACCAGCCCAGGAAGGCAGAGGCAGCAGCCCAGGCCCAGCACTCCACAGTAAGTGGTTTCTAGCTTTCGCTTTCTCCCTCACGGTTTTGGGGCTTGGGATGGGAGCGGGAAATCTTGTTTCGAGTAGGACTGTAGAATGATACAAGGGAAATGCAACCAGTTTGGGTATCCAGTTCTGAGAAACTGGATGCCTGAAGTGGGGTGGAGGAGCGCTCAGTTCCATAAGGCTTCAGTGATGGGAAGTGTCTGGTCTTTATTTATAGGAGCACTGTCGCACTCTGTGGGGCAAAAGGGGTTGTAGAGGATCCACACTTTCCTTCGATGCCTTGGAAATTTAGGGACCAAGAGGAAAGAGTATGTATTGGTGGAATAAAGGCTGGATGGGGGGCATTTTACAACTGGCTACCTTCAGACAGATATTGCCCCCCCACACACACCAGGAAAGAAGCTTTATGACTTTCATTTGTCTGGGATGTGTTGTGGGTGCCCGGCAGGGCACTTTTATCTGGATCCATCTGTGAGAAAGAACCAGGGAAGGCAAGGTGGCTGCTGTGGGCCACCTTGCTTTGGAGGGCCCTCTGGGTTTTGGATTCCTGAACCCCATAAAAAGTAGACCCTGAGATCTCTATGCTCTCTATGACCCCCTCAGGTTATCCAGAATGGAGTTTCAGTGCTTTCTCATGCAACTTCAGCCTGTTGGTTCTAAATTATCCCTTTTGCTGGTTTCTAAGAAGGATCCTGAGATCAGAATGGGGAGCTGAGGGAGGGCTCATCCCCTCCAATTCCAAACCTATACTTCCTTACCAGGCAGGGGAATGAGAGAGGTCTCTGTCCTGGTCTAGAGGACAGAAGTATGTTTAAGTAGATCTGGTAAACCCTCCACAAATAAAACCTGCCCAAGAGCATAGATTCCAAGAGACTAATCTGCTAAAGACCACATTAGAAAGGTGCTGTCTTCTCTCTTTCTCCTTCTTCCCCGGCCAGATTCTGAAAGTCGCCTTTGTTTTGTCTTCTGGCAAATCAGAGGGACCTCAGAATTTGGCCCCCCTTTCAAACTTTATTTTATAAGGAAAAGTCCTTCTGAAAGCTAGAATCCTATTCTCCATCAAATTGATGTGCCCCCCCCCAAGTTAAGATCCCTGGTAGACCTTCTTTCTGCCAGTGCACTATCTTCACTATTTTTTGATTCATTTCAGCTCACCAACTCTGGTGGATAGTCCCTAGTATAGGACTTGGCATTTTGAGGGGCTTATGATTTCTGGGACAAAGAAGAGTTGCAGGCTTCACTGTTTTCCACTAGCCTCTCCCTGTCCTTGTTCTGTTCCTGAGGAGGCTCTCCTCTCTTTTTTGAAATCACCATTCCTTGCCCATGCCCAACTTACAGTTGAGCCTTAATGGACTGTAAGAGCAGAAGGAGAGGACAGAGGGCTTAGGATTCTCCGACTTAAAGACATATCGCTAAGAATGATGGACATTTATGTCCCTTGTAAAGGAGACTCTCTTCCACTCAAAGGATCACCAGCAGCATTTAAAATATGAATGTTTTGGAGGTATGACTTCTATAGTCATACCTGTATAAGGTAAAGGACGTGTGGGAAGTGTTGCAGGGGCAAGCACTTTTCCTAGGCTTTCCAAGGGAGCCCCTGTCTTACTGATCCTGGCTCATTCTAGCTTGCTTTCCAGATTCTTCTTAAGGTCCTCAAATACTAGATATCTGCTTGTCTTTGAAAATTTTCCCCCATTGCATGTCAGTTCTGCAAACTATGATAAATATGTGAGGCCAACGGCCTAGAGACATCTACAGTGCATATCTAGATGGATTTTCTGGAATGGCAAAGAGCAGGTAGGGGTGTCTGTCTACTTCTGCCTTAAAGATCAAACCTTGGAAGGTCTCCTATGACTCTAAGCCTATCCTGGAGAAGAAACCCTGGCTGGGCTTTCCCCTTCCCCACTTTGGTTTCTCTGTGGTAACTCTACTCTGAACTCCAACAGAGGCAAATTTGGGGAAGAGGATGAGATGTGTAAAGGGGTTTCTGATACAAAGAACTCTCCTTGCCCCAGACTTGTGCCTTCTCCCCCCACTGTTCCTAAGAAACCTCTCTCTCTCTCTCTCTCTCTCTCTCTCTCTCTCGCTTTATGAGCTCCAGACCTCTTCTCTCCCTCCTCTCGCACAACCTCTTCCCCCTTATGAACCCAGGCCTCAACCTGTCTGAACTATAAGCTCAGCCAGTACCCTCTGGCAAAACCTCAATCCAAGGAACAGCAAGATTAAGACCCAGTTTCCCTTTTGCCCTGAGCCCAGCTTGGAGAACAATTTGATTCTGATTTTTTTGTGTGTGTTGTTTTATTTGGTTGTTTGTTGTGTTTTGTTTCTCTGTGGCCACAGGGTGGGAGGAAGTGTAAAGAAGTGTAAACAGGAAAGCCAGCCAGGCCTGGAGTTCCAAGTGCCCATATTTCATCAGCTTCCTCTCCATAACTGCAGCGGGGACACTTAACCCTTCCCTGGCTGTGAGAGGTTATTCACTGAGGGTAGAAAGGGCAGAACTGGAGAGCCAAGAGCAAGTTTCTTTCCCTGCCTGGTTCCTTTATCCCTGGAATGTAGATGCTGGGACAGAGGCCACAGATTCAGAGCAAGGGAAAAGACAGATTGCTCAGCACAATTCCCCAAATTCAGTCCCTTCTCAGGACTCCTCTCCTTCTCTAATAAGCATCCCAGCCTGGACCTACAGGCCAACCTGGGAAGCCAGGGCTAGCATGAATCTTATTATTTTGCAGAGTAGCTGCCACTGGTCACTCTCTCTATTTTTGGAGATTTTCAGAGTAATTGGATTTTGAGGCCGGGATCTGCCCACAGCAGGATTTATCGATTGCTGCATTGCTGTTACACATCCATATTAATTAACCCAGACACAGCCTGGAAACTGAGCTGTTTGGGAAGGGGGAGGGGAGCAATGGGGGCCCCTTTAAGGAGAATGGACATTTTGCCCTAAGTGCTCCTGAGGCGCTGATAGGAGAGTTGCTCCTCATAAGAATTTGGTGGCCCTCCCAAGCTCCAAATCCAGGGTAAGACTGACTCCGTTGCTACAACTGGACTCCACGAAAACCTCCTGGGGTGGATTAGACGCTTCCTGTGGAGGTCTGTCACCCCAGCTTTCTAATGCAGTCTCTGGTGAAGGTTCCCAAAGCCATCTTTTCAGAGGTTAATCCTGGGCCTCACCTTCCTCTCAACTTCCCAAAGGTAGAAGCTTTTTGATGGTTTTTCTGGTTTGTTTTGTTTGCTCTTGTTTGAGTGTCCCATTTGGTGGTGGTGGTAGTGATAGTGTTATGGCCTTCTCGTTCCTCCTACCCCTCCCTCCAAAAAGTGATTAAAATCTGTTAAAGGATTTAATTAAGAGAGTTAAATGAAAAGGAAGGAGGCACAAATGAGTTGGGGGAAAAAACCCACACCAAAGCTATTCTCAACGATTAAATCGCCATTTTAACAATATAATGGCGTTTGCATCCTGAAAGGGGAAATCAACGCTCATATCTCATCAATAATTCATAGAGTCCGGGATCACGCAGAGGTCAGCAGACGGGGGCCAAAGCGCCGGCCTATGTGGGGCTCCAAGCCTCTGCCGCATACATTATACGCCGGCCACACCGCCACCACCTCTGCGGCTAGCGGGACTCGCAGGGCCATGCCCATAGGTTTAGGGTGATCTTTCCTCTTTGGGCGAACTCACTCTGAGACTGAATTGTGAGCTTCAAGAGGAAGTGGGGGAGGATTTAAAGGACTGGGTAGGATCAAATTTCAGGCAATTAGGGAACCTGTCGGATCATGCATAGCACCTCCTCAGGTTTTAATATTTCTCTTGCTCCTTTTGCCTTTCCTCGATGCTTTAGGCGCGTCCTTTCCTATAGTCTCTGTCTCTGTCTCTCTCTCTGTCTCTGTCTCTCTATTTCGTTTGAAAATTTCTCAGAAACACCTTGCAGCTAGCTTCTCACCCTTGGAAAAGGCTCCTAGGCCTCCAGGTCGCAGCCTTGCCTCGGTCTCTCCTAAAGGGCTGGGGCTGAGTGCACGTGGCTGCAGGATGGCCTTTGGCTCTGGAGCTTGGGGCAGTTGCAGCAAACCCTGACTTTGGAGCCTGTAAGGGTAGGGATGAATCATCCAGCAAGCAAAAATTCGTAGGCCTCAGGCTCGAGCGAGCCCTTGACCCCCAGGTAACCCTCCCCTCCAGGTGGAAACGTGGGCAGTCAGCATGACCCGAAGCAGGTAGAGGACAAGGGAAGCGACAGACAGTGCCAGCGGATGAGGGAGTCGCTTCTTGGGCGCTTTGGAGGCACCATTGGGATTCTCTCTCTCTCTCTCTCTCTCTCTCTCTCTCTCTCTCTCTCTTTCTCCAGCCCCCCAAGGTCCCCCATCCGTGGGTGGAGGAATGAAATCCTTTCTTGTCACAGGTGGGATGGGAGGAGATATTTGGGCAGAAGTGAAAACGAAAGCGCCCTGGTCCACCGCCGGCTCCTGCGCTGGCGAAGCAGAGGCTGTAACATCCCCGAGCTGCCAGTAGAGTCCGCCTTAGACCAAGTTCACAGCCAGGCTGGGGTCTCCTAGGCGCCAGAGAGCGACCGCTCAAGGTGGCCCCGGGCCCGGCTGGGTCCGCATTGTTGGGTCACAGTTCTCCCGCCATCCCTAAGGGCACAGTGGCTTCCTCCGCGCCTAAAGAAGTCCTGCTCCAAGCTCTTTCCATTCTTCACAACAGAAAAACTCTTCTCCAGGTCAGCCCACTCTGCTCT